CAAGTTTCAAAAAAGTAAAAGTTACGAAATTAGTAGAAGCCCGGCGTCTAATCTCGGAAATTTTCTTCTGTATTCTCTTCCCAGAAAAAAAGAGATTTTTAGGGTATTTTCTCAAAAATCGTTCTCGATCATCATTTTTCATAGAATTTCTAAGTCTGAACATACTCCATAGCTATAAATTGCCATTTCCAATTTTAACTCATAGTGCTTTCTAGGAGAAAAGCTCTACATGCATATTATTTCATGATATACTACTACTTTAAAGTTCGAAAAAGAGACAACACTGTTGTGGTCCGTCGAACATCCGGAAGCAGTTTCATGCTAGTTATTGAGAGCAGTGCTGATAAGAACTCTTCCAAACAGCTTTGGACACAATATAGGCTGCTTTAAATAATCATTCATAAGAACACTGTCATACCACATCCTAATTCATCAATTCTTGTTAAAAAAGCATTCATCAGAAGTCTCCTCATATAATATACAAAATTTAAAGAGTAAACGCAATTTCCTTAGCCTAGATTGTTATCTGTTTCACACTGCAGTGAGTTATAGCATTATAAAAAATGGCACGATATTCAGAGATGCTTAATCAGTTCGGGTCAGAACGCGCCGGGATGGCTCCATCCCCAGCTGTAATGCACATTTCAAAATCAAAACTTGTAAGAAAGCTAGGAAATCAAGGAGGAGTTGTGGTGAAAACGCCAAGCGCACCTCTCCACACGAGAAGAAGGTCAAACGCCTTACACTTGTCACAAACACAGAATTTAATTTTAGAAATGAAAGTCACATTTTATTCTTTTATGAGTTTCTATTTATTGAAAAATCAGGAAAATGCAGAGATATACAACTTTGCATAATTAAGGAGGAGCAATAGGCAACAGATGGTAAGCAAATCAAATTTTTGTGTGTGGGTCTATACTGTAAAACCGCCGCACTTTAACAAATTTGTTCTTGAAGCCAATTGAAAATCTGTATATTAGGTAACTTTACTTGTTGAAATGAAGGAAATTCACGACAGATTAACTTAGGCATGCCGTCGACGGCAGTTAGGCTGGATCTCTTGCTGTAGTG